ATTTTTTTATTTTTTATGTTTAATGATAAAACCCCTAAACTAAAAATTTACCAGTAGCACTGGTAATTATGACTGGCGAGGGTTTAATTCACTAAATAAATGTAGTTTGGAGGTTTTTTCATTAAATACTTAGTTTATGGGTTTTTATCCAAAACAAACTTAGTTGATGGGTTTTTATGTTAAAAATCCTTATTTGTATTAGTTCGGTTGGGATATCATGATTGGAAAAGATGTGGTATGTGAAGTTAATTTTTTTTTGATACATCATACATGAAAGATGGATCCAGCCATACGAACTTTTGTATGATCCTAAAACAATTAAGTGAAAAAAACTATATGAATATAGGTCCACTGGTTTGTGTAATGTGATTTACAAAATAATTTAAAAAATATATATAACTTCGAAGGAAATAACAAACGTAAGAGAGTAAAATATGATTGAAGCAAACACCCATATATGATTTTTATATTGATTGTGTGAAAAATATAATTTAGAATCACTTAATCTGTATTTATACATGCCTCTTTTCCCTCTAAAACATCATTGTCGCTAACGTTAGTTTTCATAATCCTAAACGGCATATTGTACTAAGTGAATATGAATTTTTACTGGTGCACAGACATTTAAATCAATTTCAAAATCAACACAATAGTATTTGAATCTCAAAGCACCTTCATACATGATATAATGACAACATGTGACGTCCTAATTTTGTTTGAACTAATGCACTTATTAAAATCAAAGAAAACAGTCTGACATACTTATATGGTGATAAATAGATGCACATCACTAAAGCATATGATCATTTAGAATGGAAATTTCTTAGAATACACACTAAAAGCCTTCAGTTTCAATAGACATTTCAACAAATGGATTATGACGAATTTGAAGTGTATAAGAATATCCATTCATTATATATGGAAATATGCAAGAAGTTATCTTCATACCTCCTCATAATAAGCTTAGATGTCTTGATTAATCTAACTGTATCTAACATTCTATGTTAAAAAGGGGAAAATCAAAATTGGTAATATGAGCGCTTTTCTTTTTGCATATGAATATCTTTTCTTTTTGTCAAGCAAATGCTAGGAATTTCATAGAAACTGAAGATATTTTCAAAGAATATGTGCTTCTATCAGTTCAAGAAATAAATTTAACCAAATTTATAATCACTATTGGCTCAAAAATGTTTGGTGACCTACAACTATAACATAAGGACACTCTAAATATTCCAGATCATGGAGGAGATGATAAATAGCTAGGGTTATTGGAGCAATTTAAACGTTAAAGAAATAAATGTTTGAAAACATTTTAAACAAAGATAATAATCAAACTAGAGCACAAAGTTTATACCTCATACTAAGTAAGAAATACTTACTAAATCAGTGAGAGTTTCAATAACAGTTTATTTAGGGTCTAGCCTTAAATTAACAAAATAAATAATGGATGAAATAACATATCTATTAATGAATTTCCGGTAGGAGAACGAAGAAGATACAAAAGTATATCATGAATTGCATGAAAAATACAATATTCCAAGGCTTTGAATGGTAACAATTTAAATTATGCTATGTATCGATTAATATTTACAAAAATCTCTACATATATATATATATAGATACAACTACACAATTTTGTTATTGTTAGAATGGAACTACAATACCATGCAGACCCTAAGAAGAAAGAAGATTTGGGTTTTGAGGATTTAGCAAGTTTTACTGGTGTTCTTTTAGTTAAACAAATGTAAAGACTTCACAAACACATTGCCTCCTTATTTGAACGACTAATGAAAGCTTGATATTACAAACACACCTCCATATTTGAAGTCACAAATCAATTTTATGAATGGATTTATACTGTTACTGATTTAATTATCATAAAAAAGATTATGCATCATAATTGGTGCTGGTGAAACAACAAAAGTCTATAAGGAGAGTTAGATACCAAGTGATTCCCCCGATCAGCTATATGGCCTGAGATAGGTGAGGATCTATTAGTTGGAGATTTGATCACCTCCACAAGTAGTAGCCAACAATGGAATACCAACCTTATAGAAAAGTTATTTTGTGAGGAAGATAGTAAAGTAATCATATTAATCTAGTTACCATGCATCAAAAGTTAAAAAAGATCAAGTTATATTTAATTATACAACATCTGGAGAAAGTAATTATTAGATGACATATGAAACATCAAACCCCATGGTTGATGTTCATGGACTAAAATCAAATTATGGAAGCTCTAGACCATGCCAAAAATAAAAATATTTCATATAGATGATTTTATCAAGAATTTGGGACAACAACTAGATTAAGTAATGCCCTATTTCAAAAGAAAAAAAAAACTAGATTACGTACAAAAGGTAATTTTATATATGGATATATGTCAGAGAAGTCCTTAACACCAGAAAATATATTACATATTTTTTGCTCATGTCTGATCTCATTAATGATCTGGAGAATGTCTCAAAATCCATGGAAACCATTACCATCATATGATAATTTTGTGGTGATCATATATTTCAAACATCAAGTTCCAAAACATAGTGGGATATGCAAATCGAAAAATCTATTTCCTTTTAGATCATGTGGAGAATATAGAAGTCAAGATGTAAGTTAATATTCAAAAAATCATAATCCATTAAAAAGTTATATAGAAGCACAAGCCGACATAGAAGAATGGATCAACGATACGATCCAGCCTACGAGCAAATTATAGTGCGACGGAGTTGGACTGGTAAATGCAATTTGGATGCATGTTTAAAAGAATGAGATTCAAGAAAATACATGTTAAATTGCAAGTGATCAAAACAGAAACACTCAATTTTTGGGAACGTCATTGATTGCCAATGTGATAACGGTTATGGAGGCTGAAGATAAATCTCTACTAATTAAGAAACACGCATAGAACATGGGGTTTACAGTAAATCACTTTAAAACAGATTGTGAAGTGTTATTTGTAGATGTCATAACCAAAAAAATAACAAATGTTTGCATTGAAACATTCATTAGGATATCTTTGTCTCAAATCAAAAAACATATATTATTTATTTAGGTATATTGTACTAGGAGTGTGACTGGATATCACAAATAAAAATACACTTTGAGTGGATAAATCCCTTATTCTCATTTCAGTTTTTTTTTGTTAAATATGTAGAGTAAACAAACAAAGAAACAATAACTAACTGAAATCAGCAAAAAAAATATTACTTTACAAAAAAAAACAGAAGAAATAAATGTTCTACTTATCATTTTTTTTCAACTCAACACTTATCAATTATACTCTAGAAAAAGAACAAAAAAAAAATCATTAATTTTTTTAGTTAAATTAGGTATTTCAAATCTAATTTTGTATAGTTCAAAACTGTAGTCATCGTGATTTTTTTTAGTTCTAAGAGGATTCTAAATCTGAAAGTCAATTCGGCATAACTGATTCAACATAAACCATAGTAAAAACTATGCATCATCAACATCACAGTTATTTAAACAGTTGTAAAATGGGTTTGTAACATTTTTTAATCAATGTAAATGAACTTTTGCCAGAAAAAAGGAAGAAGAAGAGAATTTACTAATAGATGGTGTCTCTCTAAGAACTGGATAATTTAAAACGGTAAATTTTTTGGGAAATTGTTAAAACTAACAAATTCATGATACACTATTTCACTTTTACATTAATTATTTTTATCCTTAAAATTTTGATAGCCAAAACACCATAGTACTCTTTAATTAATTTTGTAGAAAATATATAGTTCATAATTTAGGGTTAAGGGTTAAAAATTTAGAATTTAGGGTTAAGAATTTAGGGTTTAGAGTTTAGGGTTTAGAATTTAGAGTTTAGAATTTATGGTTTAGGGTTTAGAATTTAGGGTTTAAGGTTTAGAATTTAGAGTTTACTGTATAGAATTTAGGATTTATAATTTTAGGTTTAGGGTTTAGGGTTTAGAATTTAGGGTTTAGCATATAGAATTTAAGGTTTAGGATTTAGAATTTAGGGTTTAGGGTTTATTGTTTAGAATTTAGGGTTTAGAGTTTAGAATTGATATTTTAGGGTTTAGGGTTGATTTTTAGGGTTTAGAATTTATATTATAGGGTTTAGGGTTGTTTTTTAGGGTTTATGTTTGAATTTCGAAATAGTATAATTCGAAAAAAAAAAAAAATTTGTTTTTATGTTTTTTATTTATTTAAATATTTATTTTATATATATAAAGAACAAGAGAGTAGAGTCTTTTATCATTTAATGAAAAGTGTATTTTTGAAAATATTCCATTTCTTAAGCTAAATGTTAATTAGTGTAGTTAAAAATGTGTGTTTATGCATTTTCCCAATTTGTTTCTGTATTTTTTATTGTTGTTATTTGATTATTTTTTTTAAATTATGGTTGTTATTTTTATTATTTTATCAATGACAGGCCAGCAAATCACCGAGTCAAAGTTTTTCAGTTGAAATAAAAAATCAGGGAGATCCCGTTTGATGCTTTGAGAAAGTGTTTTGGTGAGAAGGATGACTCCCCGTAGACGAACTCACCTCAAGGCCATAATCCTTGGTGATAGCAGGTCTGTTTTCTTTCTTTCTTTCTTTCTCTGTGTATATGTATGTATCTGCTTCTTCATGGTGATTTACTGATTTGGTTTGATTCGAATCTGAATTAGATGCTCTGCTAAGTGGTCGTTTATTGTGGATTTAAAAATGTTCTTGGAATATAATTTTTTTTTTGTAGCTAGGAAGTTGTGAATCATAAAAGTTTTGTTATCTTATTGTAATTGCTATTAGTTGAGGTCATGTTTATTTTCACTTGGTGGTTTCTCTAAGTAGTTTGTGTTCGGGCAAAAGAAAATTTGAATTCTGACTCAGTTATGAAAATTTGAATCCTGATATTCAAGAATGTGATAAGTATTTATGAAAAAATCTTCACTTAGTTATTGACAACTGAATCTAAGCTAAGACTCAACGGACTTTTAATTGTGCAGAGTGGGGAAGACCTCTTTGGTGAATCAGTATCCTAAACTCTTTGGTTTTCTAGATATGATATCATCACATATTTTTGGACTCTACTTTTGGTATTTAATATTTTACCCTTTTCGAGTTAGATTAGTATGTGCTCTTGTTTGGTTTTAACAACACGCCTTTACAATATGTTAACAAGAAGTTCAGTAACCAGTACAAGTCCACCATTGGAGCTGATTTCTTTACTAAGGAAGTGTATTATGAAGACCGGATTTTCACTTTGCAGGTTTGTGTTGTAGCAACTCAACTAGTTTCTTCTTTTCTTAACAGCACCTTGGTATGAGTATCACTCTCAAGTGACAAAGGTAAAATTAGAAACAAAATTTGCTCAGTTTATCAGCTTCTGGCTGATAATCTCTGCTTTTACCAATGGAAACTTTAGTTATGTTGGATAGTTGTACATTTATTCCAAATTAAAAACACTTTTATAATAGTTCCTAATGTGAGTTACAAAGGGTTTTCTTTTGGCATACATGAATAGACACAGGGTTCTGCAGTAAGATATTCTCTAATACTTAGTAACATAGTCTCCTGGTCCTAGATTAAGAAATGATCCCAAGTACTCTATGTACTGCTCTCTTTGTTTGACCATAAGAGCTATGGATGGTCTTGCCTTTTTTAACAGATATGGGACACCGCTGGTGAGGAAAGGTTTCAGAGCCTTGGTGTAGCTCTTTATCGCGGTGCTGATTGCTGTGTACTTGTCTATGATGTCAATTCCTCTAAATCATTTGAGGATCTCAATAATTGGAAGGAAGAGTTTCTGATCCAGGTATGCGTTACTAAGAAGTGATCCATGCTATTTTCACACATGCTCCGGTGTCTATAATTTAAGCCTTGTTATTGTGATTTGCAGGCAAGTCCATCGGATCCAGACAACTTTCCCTTTGTTGTAATTGGTAATAAAATCAATGTGGATGGTGGAAACAGTCGGGTGGTCTCAGAGAAGAAAGCTCGAGCTTGGTGTGCATCAAAAGGAAAATTTCCATACTATGAAACCTCTGTCAAAGAATGCAGCAATGTAGAAGACACATTCCTTTGTATCACCAAGGATGCAATGAAGAGTGGCGGAGAGGAAGAAATGTAGATTTTTAGATTTTATGCAGCTTCTTTTTTGCGGACCAGAGAAAATGCCTTAAACTTGTGGTACAGTTGTTTTTTTATTCTTGATCTTTAGTACTTAACGGACACATTCGATGTGGGAACCAACAATCCACAGAGATCAACAGGATGTGAATGCTAAGAAGGATTATTTTACCTCTGCTCTCTCACCAGCAGTTTATCTTGAAGATTTTTACCATATCGTGAATTTGTTGTTCTGCGGTAAATTACTATAAATTAAAAGGAAAAACTGAATTGGACTGGTCAATGTTTGTGGCCATATATTGCTGATGTCTCTTTTTTTTTTTCCTTTGAACATTACTTGCAGTTGGTGATGCCCACATTATTAAACATTTATGGTTTATGAAATACACAAATTTTTTTTCTTACCATGTAACTATAAGGTTGGCTTATTTTAATTCATTTTTGACTCTTGATACGATATCACTAATGGTGAGATTTTAGCAAAACCACTTACTTTAAAAGTTCTTTAAAATCAGTAATAGAAGATTTGTTATTTTGATACAAAACTTTTGCAAATCTTAAACTGAACATAGTCTTTTAAGTTTCAAGAAAAGGAAAAAAATCCCTTAGAGATGTTGTTTTCAGATTAAATATAATTAAATAAACTTTAGTGTTAGAAGATATTAAATAAATAAACTGCACAAATATATGAAAACGAGAAAAATATGATAGATTGATTTTTATATATCAATTAAACAAGGGAATTTGTGAAGAATACCAATTTCCCTGTACACATTTTCAATTTTACACTAATTACTTTGGGTGAATTGTCTCAATACCATAAACGATAGAGATACTTTAACATTGGGGGCGGGGGGAATGGTTAGTGGGGAGGAGAGAGACAGAGGGAAATAGGGTATATCTCTAATTTTGGGGTTTTGTGTGTATAGAGAATGCAAATACTCAATCACTTTTATCTTTAAAATTTTAATGGAAAAATACTATTTTATCCCTAGTTAACTAAACTAAAAGCTAGTCTTTTGCCATCAAATTCATCTCCAAATTAAGGTTGAGCTCGTGCATCTCCGTCTTGCTTCGCCGTGAACCTGCTCATCGTCTTCGTCTTCCCGCAAAACCAAGCCGCTGTATGCTCCGTTCGATTCCGAGCGGTGCCCTTGGATGGAAATGAGCTAGTCGGGTTAGCTTGGTTAGTGCAGTATTAAAACGCCTTTGTTTAGGCTTTCACTTTCCTGAGCGTCTTAATTTAAGCATTGACACATTGTCGTCGGAGATTCGATCGGAGACATGAAGTAATCGCAGTTACCGGTACTGTTTTTTTTTCTAAATCCAATCTAACACTCTCGATCGGTCGGGAAAAGGGGAACACAGGCCGGCGAGACAAAGAATGTGGAGGCGATTAAGTAACTTACGGGTGACTATCCAAAAAGCCTTGTGAATTGTTAAGCTTTTCGATTACTTCCTCCCAAACATTCATTTCAGTTTTCCATTTTGCTAATATTCCAGGGAAACCCAGATTCTGATGATTTGAGCATATCTTGTGAGGAGGATTGATGTTCGTGTTTATGTCTTTCATTTGTCTAAAAAGAGTGATTCTGAAAGCTGCTCTTTGGTTTGTGTAGAGGAAGAGGAAGATGTTAGTTTGGGAGAAATGTTGTGCCCAAGTGGGAAGACCAAAGAAGAGGAAATGTTACAATCTCTTCTAAATGTATTTTTTTTGCCCAATTATAATGTAGTTTGATCACAGATTGGCTTGATTATTATTTATTAATATAGGGAAGAGGATCGCTACTTCAAACAAAGCTAGAGAAACTCATAGGTATCTCTCTCTTGTCTTTGTATTTTGTTGATTACATTTTAACAGAGAGAGAGCTTGCTTGCTTCTGACATGACCAGGTGGTTGTGGTGGTGAACTAAATCATGATGAAGAAACCGGCTATGTATCTCTGGAAGCAACCGTGAGTTTTTTTTCTCTCTTGTTGTTTCGAGGAATAATGGAATTGAATGGTGGTGATATGGGAGATTTTACTCTTTATTCTTAGCAAAGGAAGATATCTTCCTCTCTTGAACAAGTTCCTGAGTCCCCTGAGGAGAGTTATTTTGCTTCTTCAACCAGAGACGGATTCATATGCATATCCGCTGCTCAGGAAAGTGATGAGGTTACTAACTACTAATGTTTTACTTCGTTTGAGTTATTTTCATGACCATCCCAATCTGTAGTACATTTCTAAAAGTATTGACTAGCTGTGGTTATGTTTTTTTTTTTGTAACGATGATTATTGTTGCCTTCAGATGCCACCAGTGGCAACTTGGGCCACTATAAGTAAAGAAGCCAAATCACTACTCCATTTGAATGGCATTGCTTCAGTCTCATCTTCCCTCAGAGCCAAGAGAGGCAGTAAAGGTACCGTCCCAATTTGGCACCACTAAGAAATGATAACTCAGATCATGTCTCCAAATCTCTGAGTTGGTTATCTTATGTCTATGCAGTTGTCAAAGACAATAATGTCAGGCCTAAATTTTCGTTTCACACCTATGCTTATGGAGAAAATTCTTCCAAGATAGGTTACATGGCTGAATACTTTGAGCTTGTCGATGATCAGGCCGCCATAGAGGAGGATCCAATAGCTGAATGCCCCAATAGTTTTGATGAAATATCAGATAACACTCAGGATGAGCAGTATCCAATCTTTTAGTCCCACCTCCACATAAGATTAGAGTGACGACAAAAAGAAGCTCAAAATCCGTAATCTTTCCTTATACTGTGAATTAGCAATTGATCTGCTACTTTGCTTAGTTATTTTTTTTAAAAAATTCATTGTTCTCCTTTATGCTTCAGTACAGCAGGCGCGAAGTAAAATGTTCCAAATTTGCTCATAAGGGAAGTTCAAGGAACATCCAAGATAGTGATACTGATGATGAACTTCCTGGACCCATGGATAGTATTGGATCATCAACCGATGATGAGGTCTTGTTTGTTCTCTTCCTCCCCTGTGATACTGTGTAGTTACCTCTTCTTTTCAGTCTTCAACTAAATCCAGATGCTCTTGTTGTGTTACATAGCCTAGTTATCAAACATCGGTGCCAGATATTTCCAACCAGAAGAAACAATTTTTTGGAGACCTGTTAAATGAAGCAGTAAGAGCTTCCTCATGTCTCTCTCAGTTAGTTAAAGAAGATAAGAGAAGGATGGTAGGAAGTGGAGCTCCACAGAGAGGAAGTGCAGCTGCAGCTGCTAGCATGCGTAGGAGGAAGCCGAGCGGCAGCTCAAGTGGAGGAGGAGCTTCTGGTGGTGCAACAGGATCCATGCTTCAGCAACATGTGTCAAGACGTCAGATTTCCTAGTTGGTTAGTTGACAGGTCTCATAGGAGGCTCACATATATTTTAGTTGCAGGTTTTGCAGAGAGTGGTTGAGGCGCTGAACTGGAAATCTGAGATCATACGAATAATTATTTTACAAACCATTAAAAATTATTTTATAAGCCTTTCGAAATGGAATAAATGAATTATAAAATAGAAATAAAGAGAATGATATACGAAGTCTTTCTTTCACAACCTATTCAGTGTCATCTGCAAACTGTTTATAAATGGTTATATATTCTTATAAATAATATTATAATTTGTTTCTACACCTATATAAACCCTTATTAATAGTATACATACCCCTTAAAAATTATTTATAAACTTTTATAACTTTCTTATAAACATTTATAAATGGTTTATAGATTTTATAATTTGTTTTATAAACCTTTATAAATGGTTTATAGACTCTTACAAATAATTTTACATACCCTTATAAATTTTTTTATAATCCTTTATAATGTGTATAAAATTTATAAATTGTTTTTATACACACCCTTATAAACCCTAACAAATTATTTTACAAACCATTATAAAATGTTTTATAAGCCTTTCTAAATGGTTATAGACAGTAAATGAATTATAAGATAGAAATATAGAGAATGATATACAAATTCTTATAAATAATTTATAAACGATCTAGTTAGCCCTTATAAATAATTTATAAGATATAGTTTATTAATTTCTAAAAATGGTTTATAGAGTTCTAAAACTATTTATAACTTTTTAAAAGACTAACAAACTCTAATAAATGATTTATAAAACATTTACAAATGGTTTGTAAACCTTTATAAAACTTTATAAACGATTTAACATTTATAAATTGTATAAATCCTTATAAAATCGTATAAGAAATCTAATCTCATGTTCTCATAAATCTTTATAAAGATCTATAAATGTTTTATAAACTATTATAAGAGTAGTAAAATCATGTATGCTGAAAGACTAGCATGCAGAAAAACAATAATGTAAACACTGAAACAAATATATTATTTGCTTTTAGGGTGATTTAAGAAACCTCCTTGGATTTGCTTTGTGAGAACACATTAGCCTACTCCACTGAATCTGCTTATGGATTGTTTAAGCAGTCAGGTAACATTACCAAAATTCTGATCCACTAAACATATTACGTAAGAAAGAAGGTAAAAGCGAAGACAAGGAAAGAGGTAGCCCACAGATCAATTTCAATGTCATCATCAGCTCCTAATACCTCTACGAGGTCTTTCACCGGATCTTGATCATATAAGAACTGCAAGAATACCACAAGAAGTTCACTGCCACGGAAGCAAACTATGTGACTACAAAGATTTGGCTTCAACACCATAAACAACATAAGAAACACATGTGCATACATGTTGTATGACATAAGCTGATCATTTGGTTCTTGCATAAGATACTTTATGCTTTTGAGAATCCAGTTGAAGAAATTTGAGAACTAAAACAAAAAGACTATAATTTATTGACATGTACATTGGGTGGGAGATATGGAACAAGGTTACTCTAAAAAATTAAAACTTTTATTGTCTAAAGGGCTCCACGCCTCTGTACCTGTTGAACAACCAAAGATAGAACCATTTTCATAAATTTCTATAAATATTTATAAATAGTTTATAGATTTAATAACTTGTTTTATAAGCCTTTATAAATGGTATAGACTTACAAATAATTTTACATATCTTTATAAATTGTTTTATAAACCTTTATAAAGTTGTATAATCTTTACAAATTGTTTTTATAAACATTTATAAATTGTTTACATATCCTTATAAACCCTTAAAAATTATCATACAAACCATTATTTAGGTGTCATTATAAGCTTTTCCTTGTTACGACATCCTTCAAGAAACCGGCTCTGCATAAAAGAAAAAAAAACATTATTTATAAGCTTTCATAATTTCCTTATAAACATTTATAAATGGTTTATATTTTTAATAACTTGTTTTATAAGCCTTTATAAATGGTATAGATTTACAAATAATTTTACATATCTTTATAAAATGTTTTATAAACCTGTATAAAGGTATATAATCTTTATAAATTTTTTTATAAATATTTATAAATTATCTACATATCTTTATAAATTATCTAGGGGCCGAGATGTTGACATAGCTATTGTTCTATTTTTATGTGTGAATGTAATGTATATTTGTGTAGTTAGTGTGTTGCTGTTGTTATTGAGAATCTGACAGAACAGTTTTATAACTTTGATAGTGCTTTTAACTTCAAAGAATCTTGGAAGATGCTTCAAAGCAATATAGCTTTGTAAATTCTATGTAGTTCACCACTTCAATATGAACATTGATATCACAATCTCCTATTTGTTAAGCTAAAAAAAAGCGAGAAGATAAAGAGATGAGCATAAGAAGACTATCCTTAAGTTCAATCAAATTATTTCCCATGAATCTGTCAGACATAGACTCACATATCCACTGTGATTTCAACATCTGATACGCTGACTAATTTTCATCTGCATTAGCTCTCTAGTAAATCCGCAAATTGTGCAAGTATAAGAAAACAATAATTAACCACAGTTAAGAAACCCAAACAATAGTGAAACCTTTTATTATACATTGATCAAGAGATTATACATACCCGGAGAAATATAGTCAAGCCGAGACCTTTCAACAAGAAAAAAAAAGAAATCTCACTACAAGAAATATGGGTTTTGATAGCAATTGAGGATAGCGTTTTTTATCTTTCTGCTATGGTTGACATACCCTTAGTTTTAGATAGCGTTTGTGAAAATGCAAACGCTATATTTAGTTAGTCCGATTCTAACTATGCAAACGCTTTTTAGAATCATATTATACATCGCACTTTCATTTATGAAATGCTATGCATAACTAAGGCGGGATAATAATTGATTTTCCCTCTCACCCCCGTTTTAGTGTCTATCTCCTTCCTTGTTTCTCATTGGTTGATATTCTAAATCATGGATAACAGTTTCTAGCCATTGATTTAATGTAATCCAATGG